GGGGTGGGATGGGGGTAGGATAGAAGGGGTGGATGGGGATAGATAGAGGGGGTGGATGGAGATAGATAGATTGATAGAGAGGGTGGATGGGGATAGAGAGAGAGAGGGTGTATGGGGGCAGATAGATAGATAGAAGGGTGGATGGGAATAGATAGATAGATTGAAGGGTCAGATGGGGATAGATAGATGGGGTGTATGGGGGTAGATAGGGAGAGGGGGAGTGTATGGGGGTGGGTAGATAGAGGGGTGTATGGGGATAGATAGATAGATGGGGTGTATGGGGGTAGATAGATAGAAGGGGAGGATGGGAATAGAGAGAGAGAGATAGAGAGAGGAGGTGTATGGGGATAAATAGATAGATCGATAGATGGGGTGTATGGGGATAGAGAGAGAGAGAGGAGGTGTCTGGAGGTAGATAGATAGATGGGTGTATGGGGATAGATAGCTAGATAGATGGGGTGTCTGGTGGTAGATGGGGGGTGGTATGGGGAGTAAATAGATAGATTAAAGATAGAAGGGACGGATGGGGAGAGAGAGAGAGACAGAGGGAGGAGGTGTATGGGGGTAGATAGAGAGAGGGGGGTGTATGGGGATAGATAGATGGGGTGTATGGGGATAGATAGGTAGATAGATGGGGTGTCTGGGGTAGATAGAGGGTGTGTGTGTATGGGGATAGATAGATAGATAGATAGATAGATAGATAGGAGGAGGGAGGGGGCGAATGGAGGGGGACGGGTGTGAGGGGGAAGGAGTCTGAGTGGAGGGAAGGAGTGTGCAGGTAGGGTCTATGGGGTGGAGTTGTAGGGGGGAGGTCTCTCCAAATTGGGGTTGGGGAATTGGGGGGGGGCTGTGGAGGGAGGGGTCTGGGTGTATCTTTGGGAAGGAGTCGGGGGCAGATGTGTGGAGCAAGAGAAGTGCATTGTGGGAGGAGAAGTATAGGTAGGGGGAAGAGTGACTGTAAGTTGTGTTGGGGTGAAGGAACCTGTGCCCCCTCCCCTGACTGCCCCCCCCCCCCAGGTACTGGCCCCATGGCTTGAAGACCTCCTGTGGCCCAGATGTGTTCAGTGGCAGCTCAGACCCCGGGGTCCAGTCCTACATGATTGTGCTGATGATCACCTGCTGCTTCATCCCACTCGCCGTCATCCTCCTCTGCTACCTGCAAGTGTGGATGGCCATCCGCACGGTGAGCTCCCCCAGACCCTCCACAGGGGACCCCAACATTGGCCAAGGGCCTTCCCACCGGCCTAGTAACCCTGTGCCGACTCCTGGGGCCCAGCAAGGGGCCCAGCGTGCCTCTGCTTGGCCAAGAGCCTTCCATGGACCAGGTTGACATGCCCCAGACAACCCAGTGCAGTGCGCGGCTTGTCAATAGTTCACAGAACTCAGGGTGGGAAGGGACCTCAGGAGGTTCTAGTCCCACCTCCTGCTCAAAGCAGGACCAATCCCCAACTAAATCATCCCAGCCAGGGCTGCATCAAGCCGGGCCTTAAACACCTCCAAGAAAGAAGACTCCACCGCCTCCCTAGGGAACCCATTCCAGTGCTTCACCACCCTCCTAGTGAACCAACCTAGACCTCCCCCACTGCAACGTGAGACCATCGCTCCTTGTTCTGTCATCTGCCACCACTGAGAACAGCCGAGCTCCATCCTCTTTGGAACCCCCCTCAGGTAGTTGAAAGCAGCTATCAAATCCCCCCTCATTCTTCTCTTCTGCAGACTGAATAACCCCAGTTCCCTCAGCCTCTCCTCATAAATCATGTGCTCCAGCCCCCTAAACATTTTCGTTGCCCTCCGCTGGACTCTCTCCAATTTGTCCACATCCTTCTATAGTGTGGGGCCCAAAATGGGACACACTACTCCAGATGAGGCCTCACCAATGTCGAATAAAGGGGAACGATCACGTCCCTTGATCTGCTGGCAATGCCCCTACTTATACAGCCCAAAATGCC